GATAAAGGTTTCATTACAACGCTTCTTAGTGGTGTTTTTAGCGAAACTTTGGTTTCCGGCTTTTTTCATTCATTGAATTCACAACTTTTCCAACAGATAACAAAGGACACCATCACATTTCGCAGTCAGACTGCACGAAGAAATTCATTAGGCTTTGCTTTGTTGCCAAATGTCCACCAAGTGAATTAGCGTTTTTGAAAAAAAAAACACCAACACCTACTAACCAAAATTAACAAATAATAAAATAACTAATAGAAAATATTCCACATTCCACCTTCCAAAATGTACCTAAGAAACAACCAAACACAATCAAAATATAGATCTGGCAAATGCGCGAAATTTTCCGAACAGTGTCACCGTGAGTGTGACAGAAAATTTATAAATGAAGTGGTCGTTTTGAACTACTATTTATATTTGAAAAACCCAAGGCGACAATCGGTATTTCTTGGATCCAAAAATACAAGCGCCCTTAATGTGAAGGTTTTCTGCCAAAAAGCGGAAAATGTAACTTTCCGTAACTTAACTTATTGAATAGGCAGTCTGTCCCAAGCTATTTGGCAGTGACGTCATTATTTGAGATGCCATATTGAAATAACTAAGATTCGTGAGTGCAACTATCGGTGAGGGCGCGGCGAATAGTAAACGTTACTCGCAATTGTTAGCTGCAAAAATAACGATTACATTGGTAATACCTTCCTGACATCACGTTCAGACCTTTGTTTTTAAGTCTACAATATAAAACAATACTTACACACTTTCAATTTGTTTAATCTGAGTAGAGCTAAACAAAATATGTCACAATGACATCTAATCAAAATAAGTGTCAAATTTGACTAATTAAAGTGTAGTTATAATTTAGCCGCCAGTCGGCGTTTAAACTTTTGAACTCGCGATTTGGTTCGAAATATTTAATTTCATATTGCGTGATTGCCAGTTTGAGCACTTGTTCCCGATTTTATAGAAGTTTAGAAGAAGAAGAAAAAAATTAGAAGCACATACAAGATTTAAGCGATGGTGGTGAAAATATGAGCAAAATGAACCGATGTTCACCCTAAAAAAATAAAAAAAAATAAAAAAGTAAAATAAAATAAACTAATAAAAAATAATTAATAAAACTTTAAATATCATCAAACAAAAATTACAAAATGACGTCAATCTTAAAGAACGCACACAACTAAGCGTTAACACCATTATTGAACTTTTAACAATATGTGTAAAGTCAACTTATTTTCAATACAATGATAATTTTTATCAACAAAAATTTGGAATGGCAAACAAAAACTTGATAAATTTTTATTTTATCTGAATAATAAAGAACCAACGATTAAATTCACTATTGAAAAAGAACAAAATCACCAAATTCATTTTCTCGATATACTGATTCAAAAAAATTCAGACAATTTTGAAACCTTGGTCTATAGAAAATCTACTCATACTAACTGGTATTTGAATTTCAACTCAAACCATCCGATAATGGTAAAAAAGGTATCGTGAAAAGTTTATATGATAGAGCAAAAATAATTAGTAATCAATCTATTTTTTCCAAAGAAAAACAATTTATAAAAGAAAAATTTCTTGTCAAATCAAATTAAATGAGTAGGTAAAAAATGTAATATTAGGACTATCATCAAAACTGAAAATACAATTAGAAGCAAAATTTCAATAACAAAACCTCATGACAAAATTGAACATACAAAAAATGTAATTTATAAAATTCTTTGCTAACACAATAAATTTTATATAGGAGAAACATCAAGACCATTACACAAAATAATCAAAGAACACCAATCATACATAAGAAACAGAGAATATCATAAATCACATATTTGTCAACATGCATTTGATGGATGGATGGATGCATGGATTTTTCGAAAATGATTAAGATTGCTTTTATGTCACATATTGTAGCGTTTTTATTGCTCTTTCAATTGATAGTAAAAACTTTGAAATCCGTCAAGCCGTTTCGGAGTTACAGGTCTCTTCTTTGACTTAAGCCGTTTGACTCTCCCCCCACGCTTTATTTGACAAGTTAGGAAAAAAGTTCATAAGGAAAGTAGTACGGTTTTTATGATCTTTTGACTAAACTTACTAGATCTTTTACTTATAGGTACAATTTCTGTATAAAATCGACTTTTTTAAATACCGTTTGTAATTACGCCATCTCTCTAGTGATCATCTGAGAAATTTCAAAATAATTTCCAGCAAATTATTTTCGTCAAGTTTGTTATCATTTTTTTCCGAGCACTCTACAACACATACTTTCCAAGATACAGCCGCTTACCATCCTTATTGCGACACCCTGTATACCCTTAAAAGGAATGACGCCAATTTTGAATCACCCTGTATAGTTGGGACATCGAATCATGATATTGTTTATGTTGGATAAATCAGCCCTATTGATCTTTGAAAGGTGTGTTGGGTTCCAGTAATGTACTAAATCAGATGTTCTCATAATTGTACGATTGGTTCCAGGTCTCTACGAGGGATTTTGGAAAATTGTCCGGATGTTTAGCAAAATCATCAGCTCGTTCTCCTCGAGGCTCCTAAGGCAAATCTATTGACTATGTACAGGGTGTTTCTAATATAATCTACTACCAATCGAAGACATTTTCAAGTTTAAGCGAGGGACTGAGTTAACTGGTTCATTCGCTACCAGTATGATTATTAATGAAAAGCATGGTAGCAGTGTTAATTTGTTCCAAATAAGGCAACGAGCAATAAAAAGCGGGTTTAAGCGCACGTCGATCAAGTGATTTAAAGGTTGAAATACACCGCATAATGAATTTATATAAGCCTACACCTGTCGCGAAAATGCTTTAGTATGTCTTGGTTCTGTTAAAATCGCGCTGGTTCCAACTCTTCGACCTTTCGGCAACTTTTACTGCCGCTTTACCTCGCGTTTGTTGACGATTAGCTTTTCGAGAACTTGATGTGTGTATGTGTCTTATCGTGTCAGTGGGTTCTTCATCTGGTTGCGCCAACCGTAATTTGACTAATTTGTTTGCCGATGATAAGGACGTTTTAGCACCAGTTTTGCTGACGCGCTCCCTTGGACCTTAGACAGGTGGGTTGCAATAAGCCACCAAAAATTTACATTTTAATTGTTTTACTGTTGGAACTGACTAGATGTTCCTATGTCTGAAATGAAAGTTAATGTAGGATGCCCATTATTCAATCGCTTGGCAAAAACTGAAATGAGCAATGAAATTGCCCAATTTCCGTTGCGAAGCGCTCATTGTTGCATCAAGTGCTGGAATTTTGCGATACTTATTCAAATTAAGATCCGTTTAATGTGCGATTAGTAAAATTTCCTTTTTCGGCTGATGAATAAGTAAATCCTTGATATGAACGAGCTTCGAATTTCACAGGTATTCCGACCTACAGTTTAGTGTTTTTCCTACCATATATTTTACCGTGAGAGGTTTGATTTGAAACTGTTTCACAAGCTAACAGGATAATTTCGACACATTTCGAATCAATAGGCAATAAATTAGCAATCGCCCCCTATTATCGGCAACAGATTATTGAAATCCCAGACATTCACTTTTGCATTGTTCTTTAATCTTGCCAGTTCAGTTAGAAGCCGATGTTTGTCCGAATTTTTCAAAATTTACAAATCGGGAGTTTGGAAAAACTGCCTTCACTCGCTGTAAAATTGCACCTTTTTTCTGAAAACTGATTACGCCATGGTCTACTCAATGTTCTCACTGTTGGAACAAAAGCGGTTCTCAAGAAGAAGTGCGTCATTTGTGGCATTTAAACAATATCGGGCCGATACTCTTGTAGATTGCAAACACCTTATTACCCGTTTATTTATTCATTCAATTATCCCAATTAACAAATAAACATTGCGGAATTTGTCGCTCTATTAGCGATTGTTTGATCTACGCTTTATTTATTGCCTGGGGACTTTTATACGGTACCTGTTTGTTGCAGGTTTGGAAAATGGCATCAGAAAAAAAGGAAAAGTATCCATCCACTTTTACCATTGACAACTTCAGTTCAACGTAAGTGACGATATAACAACATATACATAAAGCAAAACTTTTGATCGCAATTTGCTCGTTTGTTTAGAGCCACTTTGACAAACAATGACCAAATCAAAGTGCCCATTGGGTTGCCTGAAAAGGTCGAGGCGACCGACTATAATCCTTACGAGCACCGAAATCTCGTCCATCCAAACAGGTAAGTTTTTGCCCAATGCAATGTTTGATTTTTTTGCAAAGACGGCCCTGTTCACTGGGGTTTTATGCGGGCGACACGGGAATCTATAGTTGGACCGTCAAATCTTTACCCACATAAATCGACGGCAACAGTACGGGGAAATCAGTTAAAATTAGTGGTTTAAATTTTCCATAAAAGTTGTAATTTTGAATATATGTTTTATCCTTTCGCATCGATGCTTAATTTGCTACTTTTAAACACGTTCAAATTTTTGAACTATGACAAATTTTCTGTCTTTAGACTATTTTTCCACTGGAACTTTCTAAGTGAATTTATTCATAACCAAATTAGGCATCGTTAACCAGCTTTCCGCAGCGTATTAGGAGGGATTTTCTTGATATTTTTCGGCAATTTGATTCCAATCTCTTGGTTAATGCTTCCGATATGAATTTTTAAGACACATTTTTTGTCTCGATCATTTTTCCGCTTGAATATTTCTTTTCTTCAATTTCAATTTGAATTCCCTTGGTTAATGCTTCCGATATGACATTAAGACAAATTTGCTGTCTAGGCCTTTTTTCCACTTGAATCTTTCCAAGCCAATTTGTTCATAATTAGACCGGCAATTTCTGAGCGAATTTTAGCAGCGCATTATGAAAGATTTTCTACATATTCTTCGATAATTTGGTCCAATTTCCTTGGTTAATGAATCCGATATACATTTTTAAACTTTGACGAATTTTCTATTTAGACCATTTTTCCACTTCAATCTTTTGACTTGGATTTGTTCATAACAAGGTCAGCAATTTCTAGGCTGGTTTCAGCACCGCATAAGTGGGGTTTTCTTGATATTTTTTGGTAATTTAGTTCCATTCTCTTGGTTAATGCTGCCGTTGTGAATTTTTAATCATTCAATAATTTTCCTGTCTCGGCAATTTTTCCATTTGAATCTTTCTAAGTGGATTTATTCATAACCAGGCCAGAAATTTCTAATCGGATTTCAGCGGCGCATTACGAGAGTTTTTCTTGATATTCTTCGGTAATTTGGTTCCGTTGTCTTAATGTGTGTTAATGCTTCCGATATGAATTTTTAATTTCAATTTGTCTGTCTTTTGTCCATTTTTCCACTTGAATTTTTCTAAGTGAATTTGTTCATAACCAGGCCGGAAATTTCTAGGCGGATTTCTGCACCGCATTGCGAGAGTTTTTCTTCATATTCTTCGGTAATTTGGCTTCATTCTCTTGGCTAATACTTTCGATACGAATTTTTAAACTTTGACAAATTGTCTGTCTTTCGATAAGTTGTTCGTTTGAATCTTTCTAAGTCAATGTATTCATAAACAGGCCATAAATTTGTAAGTGGATTTTAGCAGCGTATTAAGAGGCTTCTTCTTCATATTTTTCAGTAATTTGGTCTCATTCTCTTGGTTAATGCATACGATATGAATTTTTAAACTGAAAATTAGTCTGTCTTTTGTCCACTTTTCCACTTGAATTTTTCTAAGTGAATTTGTTCATAACCAGGTCGGAAATTTCTAGGCGGATTTCTGCACCGCATTGTGAGAGTTTTTCTTCATATTCTTCGGTAATTTGGCTTCATTCTCTTGGTTAATGCTTCCTATACGAATTTTTAAACTTTGACAAATTTTCTGTCTTTCGATAAATTGTTCGCTTTAATCTTTCTAAGTGAATGTATTCATAATCAGGCCAGAAATTTGTAAGCGGATCTTAGCTGAGTATTAAAGAGTGTTTTTCTTCATACTTTTGGATAATTTGGTTTCATTCTCTTGGTTAATTCTTTCGATATGAATTTTTAAACTTGACCAATTTTCTGTCTAGATTTCCACTTGGATTTATTCATTACGAGGTCAGAAATTTCTAAGCCGGTTTCAGCTCCGCATTAAGTGTTTTTTTCGTGACATTCTTCGGTAATTTGGTTCCATTCTCTTGGTTAATGCTTCCGATATGAATTTTTAAACTTTGACAAATTTTCTGTTTGGACCATTTTTCCGCTAAGTGGATCTGTTTATAACTAGACCAGAAAGTTGCAAGCGGATTTTAGCAGCGCATTAGGAGAGTTTTCTTCATATTATTCGGTAATTTGAGTTCATTTCCTTGGTGAATGCTTCCCATATTAATTTTTAAACTTTGCTCGATTTTCTGTATAGACCATTTTTCCACTTAAATCTTTCTTAGTGGATTTAATCATAATCAGTGCATACATTTCTAAGCGGATTTCAGCAGCCCATTACGAGGGTTTTTCTTCATATTCTTCGGCAATTTGGTTTCATTCCCTTTGTTAATGCTTCCGATATGAATTTTTAAACTTTGACAAATGCTCTATTTTTCGACAATTTTCCGCTTGAATATTTTCAAGTAAAATTCCGTTCGCTTGGTTAAAGCTTTCCAGGACCGATATCATCAAGAAATGGTGGCGGATAATGGAAACTTCATCAGTTTTCGGGTCATTTTTGCTCTTGAATTTTTCAAACTGAGTTTCTTCAAAACCAAGATAGGGCGGATCCCGGTAATTGATTAAAAAGGTTTGTCTTAGCACAATCTTTTAATTTAGTTGAATTTACATTCTTCCTCTCTGTAAAACGAATTTTTCGGCTCGAAGAACGTGAGTTGCCGTTTGTATGCAAGGATTTCTTGACCCAAGTATAGATTGCTTGTTGCTACAACCCTATCAAATTGACGCGCAGAGCCGCACTAAGGCCACATTGCCTTCAATGCCATACTTGATGTACCGTGATAATCAAATAATTGTTTTTTTCCAGTTTTTCCGGCGCCCTCATACATTTGTTGAAAAGCTCGCTGGGTACCGGCATTCTGGCCATTCCACGAGCCTTTAAGAGCGCGGGATTGCTGGTGGGACTGTTTGGTACCATCATTATCGGTTTGCTGTGCACCCACACTATCCATATCCTGGTAAGTTTACATCAAACAGTCGAACAAACACTGGGCGAAGAATTTAGCCGCGAATTTCACCTTGAGCAGTAATTGTTTTGGAATGAAGCGCCTCACTTGAAGAACCCGGCCATTATCCTTATTGCACGCTAATAAGCTGGGGCTCGGTTTTTTGGCGTTGTTGTTCGGGCATTTTTTGAATGCTCAGGTTCCAAAGTAATTGGAATTGCCAGAGCCGGGCTCAGACTTGACCGCCAAAATTACAGCCGTGCATTTGCTGCTGGTGCGAGCAAAAGGTGATCGAGGTTCTTTTTTGTTTCAGGTGCGAGCCTCTCATAAGGTTTGCGCCAAGTCAAAACTTCCCAGTTTGGGGTTCGCGGATACGGCTGAAGAAGCTTTCAGGACGGGCCCCAAGCCTTTAAGGCCCTGGTCCAGATTTGCCAAGTAAGTGGAAACATTTGCAGCAACAACAATTCCAAAATCTTTATTGCGCCGCTGATAGTAGGAGAACTTGCGCTTACTTTGCTTAAACAGTGGTAATTTACTGAAATTCAATGGCAACGGGTTTTATAATATTTCGCCCTTGGCACACATAAATGGTCACGGATTGAACTTGCCAGGCAAATGCCATCATCAGGGATTCTGGTTAACCCAAACCACACAGTTTGTTGTTATTCCCCGCAAAAAGACCAATTTCAATAATTTTACATATTCATTTATCAGCTTTATATTTGTGTTTCGCTCGCGGTTTGCATTAATCAGGCAGGTCTTGTCCGTTAATTTACTCGCCTGTTTATATATAAACGGTTTTTCCAAATTGGGAAATATTTCCTGCCCATTAAGCCGCCGCTATTTTTTTTTATTTCGCTATTAAATTGTATCACAATTGGTCTCATGTAGTGGAACACATTGGTTTTGATAGTGAAAGGCACCGAAGGGTGATGCAAACGGTTGCAACAACAACAAGAACAACTTCCTGATTGCGGCAATTTGAAATGTTCTTAGGGGAAAAGCGAAGGTTTTTCTTAAGTCATTCTTCTTTGTTTACCTATACAGAACTTGAATTTTTTCTGTGAGAATGTTGGATTCTATTGATTCATGTCTTTTTTAAAGCTCCAAGGCTTTTGCCAAATATGTCAGTTTTGCGCAAGAGACTTCGATTTTTTATGCTATATTGGCATCAATACTGGTCATCAATTTTTGATGGAGGGAAATTCGAATTGAAACCTATTCTTAAAGCACTTGCTGAGGGCGTTATGCACGCTATGCTCTTTGGTTATTCTTCATCAATAGTTTTTTAATGGAAAGCTGTCTTGCGATTTTAAATAACGCGTTTGTCAGACTGTTTTTATGTTGAATTTTAAGCGATTTTAGAACTGGAACATATAAATTGCAGGTCGTCTAAATGATCAAAAGTACTTACGATTTTTGGAACAAAAATCGAAATTTGCGGCATAAACTATTTCGATGCAAGTGGGTGGTTTGCGGCAGTCCATTTTCTTGGCCAGATCGTAGCCCTGATCTGAATCCCTTATATTTTTACTTTGGTGGTCACTTAAAGGATCTGTTTTATGTGAAATAAACGTGAATGGATTGCTCGTGGACTTTTACAAAAAATTGACCACATATTTTAGTATGGTAGTAACTTTTCCTGTGGTACTTCCCATCGTAGAAGCATCATTTACTGTTCTAACAAGTGGTGCAAAAATGAGGGTTCCGGCTCAAGCTGTTGTCCTGAGAAATCGGCAAAAACACGAAAATTGCGCCATGTTGCGCCTAAATGGGTGATGATTTAAATTTCACTATGTGTGAAAAAATTTACAGTAATTCCTAACTCACGTTTCGCTATCTGAATCACAGAGCAAAACAGAATCTTCAGCTAAAATGGTTTTTGAGATGCTGCCAAGTCATGGGTGGCGATTCTTGAAATTTGTGCATTTTTGTGAAACCACCAACATTTCCCAAGAGCTCAACGTATTGTTTTCCAACGTATGTTTTCCGTAAGAATCTCCCTAATTTCATATTTTCCTAAAAAATGAAAGTGGCAACATTTCCCAAGCAATACCTCACCTAGTAGGTAAAAGGTCCATTTAGTGCTCTAACCCGTGGTGCAGCAATGAGCGTTCTTGCTCATTTTGTTCCCGAGAAATGAGGAAAAACGCGAAGGAAAGCATGAAATTTTGGCCTAATCTAGCACCTAACTGTATGATTCAAATTTCCTTTTTTTGTGTGTTTGAAAACTACAATTAATTCAATCACGTTTCTGTAGCTGTAACAACAATAGGAAGAAAGCGGCATCAAGTACGTATCGATTTTGCAATGTAAAAAACATGCAAAACTAATACTTTATTGAAATTTACGCTTTTTTTGTGAAAACACTCTATTATGGATGCTTCACCTGGCAAAAGCCCATTTGGTGCTCTATCCAATGATGCAGAAATCGTGAAAAGTGGCGATCATTTTTGGCCAGCTCGTAGCCCCGATCTWAATCCCTTAGACTTTACGTTGAAAGATACGGTTTAGGACGAAACAGAATCGCGCCGGGAACGTTTACAAAAAAACATTACGGCGTAGTTGAAACCRTAAGAACTAAGAACTTACTTTATTTCGAATAATACAATATTTAAATAAAGGAATAAGAAAAGRCAGTGAGGTAAATGGTGACATTTTCTTCGGGTACCTAATTACTAGATACATAAGTAAATTTAAAATTGTTCAGTATCCGTAAATTAACGAATGATTGATTCATTAACTCGGTAATATTTCGAAAACGGGTTGATTTCTGGAAGAAAAGTGGCTTGCTTCACCTTACAAACAAACAGTTTGGCAAATGCGTTATTTAAAATTCCTAGGTAAATTTTCATTTCAGTTGTGGTAAAAAAATCATCAAACATTATCGATTGCACAGCGCGCTCTAGCAGGTACCTCAGAACTACGCTTATATTTCGACACGCAAATCGAATTTCCCGGCACTAAAAACTTATAACTCCAACTTTAGTGAAATTTCAAATAAAAATGTAGGATTTCTGGAATTCATTTGAATCAGGAGCTGGGACGCGATGTTGTTTTGGAAATAGAGCAATACTTTGCTAAGGTATATATAGTTAAATCGGTCATTATTTACACAACGATCTGATACCAGTCCTGCCGCTTTACCCATTATGCTCACCTTATAGAAAATCTCATAACAAACAGCATTTTTTCTATAGATTTTGCGTGAAAATGCCGCTTTCCGCAACTTTTCACCCTCTGAAATTCACCAATTTCAAAACAAATCAAAGGCCGCCATGATGGTTCTGCTCTTGCGCTGGCGTGCCAATTCGCGAGTTAAACTACCGGTGGTGGCGCTGCGAAACGTCAAATTACTCGTTGTCGAGTGACAGTTGAGACTTGTCAGACTTGTCTATTTATTGAAATTGATGACATCTATAACATAAAACAATACTTACACACGATACTTTCGATCTGTTTCGATTTCCTTACAATCTAGCAAACGTTGATTAGAACGAAACGAAACAAATCACAAACACCAATGTCAACAAAACAAGTGTCAAATTACTAGTTAACGTGTAGTTATAATTTTAGCCACCAGGGGGAGTTTGGACTTTTGATCTCGCCAATACAAATTTTTCACCTCGACTTCGTCTCGGGACACTTTTCGGCCTTGTATCGAAAACTACTATTAAAAGTTAAGACATTTTTGAACAAAGAACGGTGTCTTTCTTATTTTATCTTTATATTTTGTTAATTTTCCCTATGCATATTTCTTAGCTTACTTATTTCAAGGTTGATTTTGCACTACCTTTTATTTAGTATCTTTTTTTGTCCGGTGCCTTTCCAAATACACAAATAGTTTTTCCAAAAATCATTTTTACGAAACTTCTATTTTTTGAGATTTGCTCACCTTCACTGACACTGCGCTACCATTTTCTGTATGAACGTATTTTAACTTTGAATTAATTACCCTTTTTGTGTGTTTTGATTGAGATTTTCGACTTTGGTGGCAGTTTGGCAACATGGTTGAGCAGTATCGAATTGTCGCCCAGGATGAGCTCATTTATCCCCCCAAAACGGAATTTCTGTGGCGGCAGTCGCAATCCTGGCGATCCCTATTATCTTTACGACAATTCCAAAGAGTATTTTTGGTAATTTATGAATAACAAATGTTTGCATAACCAAATTTTCTAATTATAAACTATAAAACTAAAAAAAACGTTTCAAAAAATAAAGTATAAATTGAGAAATATCGCCCAAAAGTCGCATGGCAACTTACTTAAAACTGGTAGTAAATCTATCCGAAAGGTATCGTGGGTAACAGATCGTGGGGTAAAGTAGGTATTACCGTTAAATCTTCCTATTTTGGTTCTCACTTTGTAAATTGAACTGATCTCAACTAAAATGTGTGTAACCTAGGCAGATTTTTATTGATTTTTAAAACACAATAGTTCAAAAATGGAAACTTAAATGAGGATATGGTTTCCAGTGTTGTATATCTCAATGCTTTCAAAATCGTGTTTGGGACTTGATTTCAGCTTGTCGTGAAGGAAAATACCCTGAAGAAGTCTTTACAAAATCTCTGATTGTCAACGCTTTAGTTTGCTGAGTTGCCAGTGTTATTCGTGAAATAGCGTTCACCCTATGAATGTGTGGCAGTTTTGTAAACCATTTTTGGTTAAAAAAAATAGTAGTCTGTGGTTGGAAAGTTTACTTTAGATTGTTTCCTACTGTTAAGAGTGAGTTCAGTAATATAAAAATACGGTGTGAAGTTTACGGTTGCAATAGTGATACGAAACGCTCTAAAGCTGGAAATAAAGTGTCATTTCATCATCATTCGTCGTTCACGTTTCCAAAATACATTATTTTAAGCAAGTTATGGCCGAATGCCTTTGCTCTTACTGCTCCTAGCCTGCAAAATTTATCTATTTTGCAAAAAAATGCATAACCCATTGCAAAGCAATTTATAATTTAAACGAAGAATTATACAGTGTGTCGCACTTAAGATGGAAACACTCCAGTATTTTAGTTATTTTTGGAAGCAGAGTTTTCAGTTTCGGTACGGAGGTAGAACGTCATGAGGTTAATTGGTTAGGGTACCCATTTCTAGCTTCAGATGAAAACCCAGCCTACTACGACTTTGCGAATAGGGGCAATGCGCAAACGTTACTAGCAAAAGTTGTTCAGAATGTTATTTTAACGGTAAATATCGAGTTTCAAGTCAAAAGTCAAATTTTGACGTTTTTTTTTTATTTTTACGCGAAGTCCGAAGCTTTCACTAAAGCAGCGAAAAATGCAACAATACATGATTTATTCAACAAGATAAGAAAAGAAACAGAAAAATTCAAGCAAAAAATTAGTATTATCGAATGTTGTCTGCTTCAACTAGTCCACCTTCAAGCCTGATGCACTGTTCAATGTGTTTGCGATTGTTATTGGCAACTCTCATAAGTTCAGCCACATTTATTTCACGGCAGGCTTGTCTTATTCTCTCACATAGTTCTTCTCGAGTTTGAGGCCTTACTTTGTAAACCTTATTCTTGATAGTACCCCAGAAATAGAAACCTATTGGCGTAAGGTTAGGAGAGCGAGGGGGCCACTGTTCAAAAGAGCATTTTCTGCCAATTCATCTTAATGGAAAGTATCGATTTAGCCAATCCCGGAGTTATGAATAGATGCGCCGTCTAGTTGGAAAAGCATTTCTTGCCGCACGTAGATAAGCAGATCCTGGATAATATCCCATAATTCATTATTAAAAAAATTGAGCAATAGCTCAGCATTTAAGGTAGTGTAGAAGAATAACGGACCAATTATTCTGTCATCTAAAATTCCGCACCGCACATGAACTTTTTGTGTGTATTGACTTTTGCTGTTAATAACCCAATGAGGATTTTCTGTAGACCAGTATCTGCAGTTTTGAGAAGATACCATCCCATTGATAGTCAACGTAGCCTCATCCGTAATCACAATTTTTCTTTAAAAAAATCTATCATTTAAAAAATTTCCTTGGGCCCACAAGCAATATTATAATCGTTTCAAGTCATCACCTTCTCTCAACGTGTGCAGAAATTTTGGTTCGAACGGCTTTATTTTATGACGAACCAGGCATCTTCTAATTTTGTCTTTACTTACATTTAATTCAACAGCCCTCAGACGTAAACTCATTTGAGGATTGGCACGAACTGAAGCTATGATGGAATCATCATTATGTGTTCGATTCCGAAGTTGAGCGTGAAGCGGACTGTTCAACACACTTCTAGTTTGAGTGAAACGCAACCCTGCTGCAGTTTTATGTCTAATAGGATTTCTCTGTGGATGTCTCATATTTAATTCTTCCGCAGCTTGTCGGTTACTTCGAACTCCATCACCAAATAATCTAATTATTTCTATTTTCTCCCTTAAACTGAGATGTTCAATAGGCATTTTGTCAGCGCGCTGACGCAATTAATGTCAAATTGACAATTATAAGACGCGGCTAATTTGATTCCATGGCTCTCTAGTGAATACTGATTAAAAAATTCGGACTGCGTAAAAATTTAAAAGAATGCCAAAAGTTGACTTTTGACTTGAAACTCGGTATTTACCGTTAAAATAACATGGTGAACAACTATCTCTAGTAACTTTTTCCGATATCTCTAACGCATCGCAAAATATAACAAATTGCCCCTATTCGTAAAGTCGTAGTAAGCTGGGTTTTTATCTGAAGGTAGAAATGGGTACCCTAAACAATTAAGATCATAACATTCTACCTCTGTACCTAAACTGAAAACCTTGCTTCTAAAAATAACTAAAATACAGGAGTGTTTCCATCTTAAGTGCCGCACACTGTGTAAAAAAAATAATGGAATGTGGCAGTCTAAATAAGCTATAATTAATAACATTCATCAGACCGGAAAATAGCACCACACTCCCAACACTTCAGTGAGTACCACATGACGTCACGCAAATTGACGAAATATCCTACCTTGTTTTCGTTGTATCATGTATTTTGACAGAAGTCCCTGTCAGTTAAGACAGGGACTTCAAATGACATGAAAAATGCTTTGTTTCTGGGAAAAGGTGATTGATCGATAATTAACAATGTGTTAAGTTCTTTCAGTTAGTTTAAACAATTCAAGTTGTAAATCTAACAACCAGGCGATGTTTTGAACCACGAGTTCAATGAAGATAAATGACGGAAATCTGCCAAAGAACACATTTGAAATATTGACAAGCTTTGGAGCCCTGCGAGAAAAACAGTTTCATGCATTGTCAAATTTTCAATTAGCTTAATACAAAATAAAAACAGATTATTTTGTTGACTTGAAAAATTAATTTAAGCTTAAGTTTTAATGTCATTGACTTATGTTGTGGTAAATTAGTGGCAGTAGTGGCAAAGGTAAAGGATACCTATTAATGTTAGCAAGTATGGAAAAAATAAACTTGACTTATATGACGAACAAATATATACTTCCAAATAACATCACAGTGGCAATACGGAACAAAAACAAGCAAAGTTAAAAAAACTCAGTAACTGACGATCATCACCCAAAAATCTAAGAACATTTGTTGAACATTGAAATATAATAGATTGCTCCCAAAGTTCTCCAAATATCGAAATTATTTGACACGGATTACATACAGTAATGCTTATATGTATAATTAAGGAAACTATTTCAAGATTCTTCCTAAACATCGTTATTTTCGTTTAGAAATTTCTATACTACTATTACCTAGAAACCTAACTTTCCACCCACCATGTTATATCTGCACTAAAAGCTTAAATTTATTTCTTCAAAAAGCAACCACTCAGATTGACTCATTTCCATACCCCGTACAAGACCAGGTCGAACGATCATCGAAGACTACAGATTAATCCATAAGATAAATCAGAGCCATATCTCACGCTCAGGAAATGAGACTATGTCTCTTCCTCGTGGTTGCGAAAACTCATCTTGTGAGAAGAGAGTATGTGAAGATATACTACAGAAATGATCCTGTGAAGTATGATCTTAATTTTTTGCTCTAAAACTGCTGAACTTATACGCAGGTCGTAGATCCTCGTGCGTGTGTATTAGTCTGTACCGCCATCTAGAACTCGCGTAGAAGTTGTAGGACAATGGAGGCCATGACGGTTGGTGCCATTGTGCCACGGGCGCGAGTTAAGCTTGCTACGCCACTGTATGGAAATATACACTATCAGACAAAGTTAGAGCAACCTTTTGAAATACTGTGTGTCTACTTAGGTTCGCACCATATGGGAAACTTTTTTATGATCAGTTTTTCGAAAAAACTTATTCTTCATAAAAAGTTCTGCTTGGTCCAACACCTAAAATGCGAGCATCAGATATATTTTTTTTCGGTGGTATACGAGGTATATCAGAAAGTATGAATTTTTCCCAAAAATAAAGTACCTTAATTTTTGACAATATCGAAAATTGTTATTAAGAAAACTTGCTTAGAGTTGAAAAGTACGTTCAGGTATCTAATTGCACATATCTATGATGAACATCAAGTTTTGTTATTTTTACGGTAGTCCCTATGGGAAATTTTAATTATTTATTTTATGATAAAGTTACTTTTCATAAAAACTTCTGCATGTTCCAAAATCATAAATACAGTCATCAGAGATCAATTTTTTTCAGTCGTACACGAGGTTTGTCAGAAAATATGATTTTTATGACTATTAAGCGAATTAATTTTGATCAAGATTAATGACTCAGTGATGTTTAGAAATGATGCTGAATATTTAAGAGAAGCCTACAGCAACATCTTACTAAAAAATGAAAAATAATTAACACCAAATCATTTAGGTACTAGTAATTGAAAAATTAGGCCTTGTTCAAATACAAAAATAGACTAATAAGCAAAATTATTTCCTTATCAGCAAAACATTATTTCCGAGTTCCCATACATACAGACTTAATTTGGTATTCGAAAACCTCTTCTAGTGCAATTTTTTTTGGAAGTTAAAAAATTTCTGGGCTAATATAAGACTAACTTCATTGATACGTGACCTAATTTATCATTGCGTCTCTCATTGATACCAAAGATTATTCTTTATGTCATTGTTTGTTAATATTTTTAACTTCGTTTTTTAAAAACATCGCTTTGTCCTTTGCCAAAATATTTGATCTTGCTTTATACCAGTTTCTCGGTTTTCCTATGTTAATGACTTCTTAATGAATCTAAATTGCTCAACAAAATAACCGACACATGGAGAAATTTGGACCAATTTTTAAACTGGATAAATTCGGATTGCTGCAAGAGAATCGATTTCTGTTTGAAGCGTCATTTTCCCGATTTTTTTTCGGTTAGTTCGTGTTTTTGCAAAAAATATGTCAGATAAAGTTTCATACTGGGTGGCAAAGGAACCTAGGCAAAATGGATGAACATTCTACATGCTCTTAGTTAGACCAAAAAAATATTGTTAACCAAATTTTTTAAAATATTATTATTTTGCCCTTTCTACTTTATTTTTGCTTTTACTTATTCTTTTGCTTAATATTAATGACTAACTGAATTCTTTTTATTGACGACTATGAATTGATTTTTATTTACTACATTTAAAACTGAAACCACTCTGTTGTCCCTTGTGGATCTCTGAAGAAGATGGCTTAAATATAGCAAAAAATCTCTGGGTTGGCATTATGCAAGCATTTCTCAGGCAAACTGCAACTTCTGTCTAAACAGGTTTGTTTGGGCAGTTCCAGTAGATATTTTATAAACTTCCGCCTAAAACCTTTGTATAGGCATTATGCAAGTCTTTATTCAAAAAGTTACACATTCTAAACCAACCAAGATGGTAACTTTTGTAAGATTCGTAGCAAAAAATGTGTTGTACAGTCACTACAAATTGAGAGATTTTTAAACAATGTTGAAACTTCCTGCTTAACAGTTGTGTGAGTTGTCATTATTCAAACATTGTTTTGAAAAATTCCAGTTTTTAAACAAACTGAGATTGAAAGTTTATCAATGCACGATCGATTTAGCCCATAAAAATTCACTCTCTTCAAGAAAACAATTCAAATTATTCCTGCCGTTGGAGCATTTAAAAAAACATTCGCAAACTTATTTGAAACGCTAAGAGGTCACACCTCTTTACGCTAGCCGCTTGTTGAAATTCTACAAAATTATAGATTGAACGTTGACCATGTTTACTAAAGACTGCACTATTAATGGGGATATTTTTTAAACTAAATCCTGATGTTGAGAAAATTTTGAAAATTTTACAACTAGTATGCGAAACACATTTACATATTGTTGTTCTGCACGTGCAAGCCTGTTTTTGACATATTCCAAATTCCAAACTTATTGAGATGGAAATCTGAAATTCCACTGGATGAAAGCTAAAATTTTGCAGTAAATAAATAAATTGTGACTTCCATTCTGCTATTAAGGGAGTTTTCTAATTTTTTAAAAACTGCATCTTGAAAACAACTTGCCGCTATAAAATCCTCAATTCGAAAAACTCCACAAACAAAAATTCGCACCATTTGCAGCAATAACTTCACTCTCCACATGGAAAAACATAAACTGATTTCTGCAGTTGAGATATTTTTTTAAAGTATTCTAAGTTGTTGTTATGCAATCTTTCGTTTGAAAACCGATATGTTCTGAACTAATCAAGATTGAAACTTCTTAATTGCATCATTTTGAAAGTTCTTAAAGTTTCTTTCCAGTCTTGCCGTTAAGAAATTTGAAAAAGTCAAATCTTGTCTCGGCTTAAGCGGTCCACTCACATGGTGATCTGCAGGGGACAATCTGTACAGGAATTGGGTATAGCCACTAGACGTTGCAATCACTGGTCCCAATTTATAATTGTTTTATGCTATGCGTATGGCTCCTCCAAGGCGCCAAAAAAATTGAAACAGTAGATAGCTTAATAGTCATAAAATTCATATTTTTTGACAAACCTCGTGTACCACTGAAAAAACAACTTTTCCACACACCATACGATTTACAGGGAATTGCATCCTGTGAACAACCAACTGGCCGATATCGGAAAGTCGTTAAAAAATTGACCCAATTGGACTGCACACGTGACAATCTACAGGGACCCCGCATATTGTACCTACCCTTCAGATTGCCGTGTGTGTGGGCCGCTTTATGCCTCATACAATGTAGTGTAAGTTTCTCCACGTTGGGGCAAGGCTGAAGCAAGCCAGTCAGGGCTGAACTTGCTCAAATGTTAAATTTGATAAATTTTCAAATTAATCTACAGGGTCGCGTTTATGAATGGAAACGATTCATTATTTCCTAAACTGAGATACCTAGAACAAAACGGATATTACAGAAATTGTAAAGTAATTTCCAGTGTATTTATACATATAGAGAAAAAATATATATTCAGTCGTGTGTGAATGTCGTCTGGGCCTGCTGCTTTATTGTTCTTCATGGACAGAATGGCTTTTTCGATCTCTTCTTTTGTGATAGGGGACCTGACGTTTCTTCTTTAGGATTTTTTTAGGATTTTTGCAAATTTCTGAACGTCATAAAAGAGTGACTCTATATGTAATTTTCAGACTTTTAGTAGCTCCGATGCATCCGCTACTATTTTTTCTATTTTTCATTTTTCCAAAGATGTGCCCTGTTTTGCTCACACAATAAATCATATTATTGAAGGGGCTTTAAAATTGCCAAGTGTGAATACAGCTTGTCGGAAACTATGGAAACTATTGTTAAGAGAGCAGGTAGAAAAAGTCTCCGTTTTGGTGACTCTTGACAGTTTAGAGAAGTTTCAGTTTGATTTAACAAAAAGACAAGTTGTAACGAACCAAATCTGTTTAAAATAAATTGATCAGTATTGGAAAAGCCCGGAACCAGTTTCTTTGGAAATAGAACCGTCGTAGCACAAATAGCGGGTAGCCTTTTGTGAGCGCGACACAGCTATACCTAAGGTTGAATTGAATTGGAAAAAAAATAGTGTTTTCTTGTACGTACTTTCGCCAAAGTTTTTGAAAAAAAACGGTTTGAAAAATGTCAAAACAGTCATCTGACAATCAGTGTCAAGTCACCTGACAGTCTAGCTGTCAGCGTGACTGAAGGCTTCTCCTCGGGGGTCAATTTCATGCAATGGCGAAAATTCGACTTTCGTCTTTTGTACCGTAATATACTATATTCAGCTATTTCCACAATTTGTAGAAAACCGATTGATTTATAATATCAGAAAAAAGTTAGAGCTTTTTTTGTACTTCTACCCCCCCCCAAATTATAAGTCTATGATGAAATTCTAACAGTTTTAATTTCAGATATAAATTCAGCATATCAAAATGACTAAAGTTCCTAAAATTTACGTTTTGATGTTCAACCGTTTAGAAATAATTTGCAAAAATCCCTACTACTGGGCCCATCTTCAAGAAGCCGTTCCTGTTAGGGCGCATTTTTCAATGCATGTTGATTTGAAAAATTAATATAATTTTTGACAACACATTTCACTGTTTCAGTTTGGCCACCTAATTTTGGGACACCCTGTATATAAAAATGTCGATGACACGTAGAGGCACTCAATATCGAGTGAGTCAATAAAATTGTGAGTAGGTTAGAATTCTACTCATTTGACTAAGTATCGATACTTTCTGAATACTCATGTGAGTAGTAATGCAAAATGATTTGGTTGCTACTCATTTGAATAAGTATCCATACTTTCTCAGTATCGTATCCTCCCCAATCAATGGGTTATACAATTTCTTAGTCGTTCAAATGGTCTATTTTTCCGCGCTCGCCGATGTTGCCCCAAGTAAAACCCGATTTTTTTAAAGAGTGCAAATTTTATACAAAATATGCATCTTATACAAACACCATACTGTGAAAGCAGCACAAGTTTAACTTGTATATACTTACAAAAGTACGCTTTTGAAAAATTACAAACGTCAAAACATGACAATTTCAAAAATGGCATTGACATCAAATTTGAAATATGGGGTTGACGGCTTTAATTTTTGGGTATTTTTATTTATTATAACTTATTATTTGTCTTATGTCCTTTATTCGAATAAAAATATATTGTTCTACTATTTGTTTAGAATGTCGATGCGAACTCAATTATTGACTAACATACAGGGTGTGCCATTTAAGAAACAAGAACTTCGCTTTGCTGGAATGGAACTTATGCAATCCTAATTAATAATTAATTGAGCACACGCTGGCCTTGAGTACTTTGAATTTTGCATTCCACAAGAGTTGCTTATATGTAAAATATCGCATAAGACGATCATGGTTTATTCGATTTTCGCGTTATGCAACCTCGAAGCGATTTTCTGCTATTGAAACGGCGCAGGCTTATAATGTTCAAATGAAACCCGTTCTTGTTTTTGCATATCAATTGTATTAAGTATTGGCTTCGGCTGCAAATGTACTCACCGAATCCATAATTAAGGCCATCGACAAGCCTTGTAGCCAAACAAGAACAGGTCGAATGTCAGCTAATTGGTCGATCTACATTGAGAATTTGAATTGCATACAGGATGTTCCACTTTCGACATTTCTATAGGGTGATTGTCAGTGCTTTCCAAAAGGTTCCGTGCTCCTTTTGCCACAAGAAAGAGAGCGATACAAAGGAAAATAAGAAAATTGTCAATTTTGAAAAGACCCTATATTTTGTTGTCAGTTACACCCAATACTCCTGAAAAGCTCGTTGCGGATTGAATACGGCTGTTCAAAAATCAAATTAACCAAAAAGTAAATAAATTTCGGAAAAGTGGAAGTTTTACCATTGGCCCAGTGCCGTAGGAAGCTTAGCTCGCCCCCGGGGCACAATACCTTTTTAGCGCCCCCCACCCTCATTCGAATTAATTCGGTCTAGAATTTTTTTGTTTTGCGGACCATTCGGCGCCCCTTTGAGTAGCGCCCGGGGCACGATGCCCCCCGTTGCCCACCCCTCGCTACGCCTCTGCATCGGCCAGAACCTTGATGGTTCTGCATTGCAACACAAGGCGGCACAAAGCATTCAAAAAATGTTGTTTTTTTCAGGAACTTTGTCGAGATTGCCCTCGTCCTCACCTACTACTGCGGAAATGCTGTTTACATTGTGTTCATCACGGTATCAATGACAAAGGTATGTTGTAACATCATCAACATGGTTTGCAATCGGAAATATTTGGGTTTCTTTTAATTTTCCAGCTCTTTTCCTACTATTTTCCGGAGACCGCCACATGGGACCAGTACTTCAAACTGATGATTCTCATCCCGTTGATTATCTGCTGCCAAGTGCGCGAGCTGAAACACTTGGTGCCTTTTTCCTTCCTGGCCAACACCATGATGGTTGTGGCATTCGGAATCACTCTCTACTACATCTTCTACGATATTGGCCAAGTGCAGCTGGCGGACCGAAAGATGTTCAATGGCTGGGAAGGTGAATGTTTCCACCTCATTAGGCAGGCGAAAATGACGAAAATCTTGCGTTTGCAGGCATCCCGTCTTTCTTCAGCACAGTGCTTTTCGCCATGGAAGGTATCGGCACCATAATGCCAGTGGAGAATTCGATGGTAGAACCGCGATTTTTGGGCTGTCCAGGCGTCCTAAACTCGGCAATGAGTGTTGTCGTGTGCCTTTACACAGCCATCGGGTTCTTTGGCTATTACAAGTACGGCGAATCGACGGAGGCCACCATCACGAGGAACCTGCCTTCGAGCGAAATGTAAGTGCCAAGGCTGGAAAATGCTGCAGAACCGTTCAAGCGAAGTCAATTAGTTTTTGCGCTCGAGGTTTTTGCTGTTTACTGGCCGCCTTTTAATATGCCAATCAGCAAATAGTGGTTTTGAGGCGATAAAAATCTTCTGAACTGATGGGTTGCGCAACGAATGCTTTTATCAAGCGCACGTCGTCGTAATGCTTCGTCAAACCTTTCGATTGTTTACACTTTCTTCGCTTTTTTTACACCTTCGTCGTCAAGCTTTCCAAAAATTTGTTTGTTGTTTTTGCTGAAATTAAGTTCTACCATGCATCATGTACAGGGGGCGAGTCGAAGTTGGCGTTAATCTTTTGGGGCTTTAGAGGAGAGTGGACATTTTTTTGAGTGTGTTTCAAGTCAAAACTCTCAACTGAAAAACTAAACGTTGAAATATTGAAACAACTCTCAACTAATTAGAGTGAAGAACTTGTAATAAAATGCTCCCCTTTCCCGTTTTTCTGTTTCACCTGTTATTGAGTACATTTTTTGCTGGCTTAAGAGTTACAGGGAAAATTCCAAAATTACCAATATAAAAATGACCCTATATTTTCTCAGTTAAAATGGATACAGAAAAATGTTTTATGCAATAGTTTCTTTATAATGATTATTGAATAATCCGCCATTTTCAGGATAAGTATACGGGGTCAGATAAAAAAATTATTGGACATAAGCTCACTTTTTAAGATGACGCTCCCGGTATATTCTCATATAAAAAGATATCAGTTTGACTATTCTTTTCAATAATATAACTCGCAATAGATGACATTGGTTTTCTTGGCGATTTATTTAAACTTTATTGCTTTAAACCACAGTAGGCCATGAAACAAGAGCTCATATCCTAGCAACTCAACTACCTTGACATTCTAGTTGTCATTCACAATTAGGGCTCGTTCAGACTGTTGATTTTTTCGACGGTTTTCACCAAATTTTAACAAATTTTCAAAATTCTACCCGTCCGGAGCGGTTTCAAGGCAAGAAAAGATACCAAGAGTATATACCAAAAATGCCACGACGAAATCGTTTCGTTTTTACCGAATTTCAACAAATTAAATCTTCCAAGAGCGTTTAAAAAATGCCACGAAGAAACCCGAAGATAGAGCGCCGCCTTTTCAACTTTAAATAGAGAAAATACTGGTCTATAACTAATCAAAGTATGATTTCTTTGACAAAATTTTCAAAACAGTATTTGTCAAGAGCGGTTTGAAGGCAAGAGAATCTGAAAAGCGTATTTAAAAATTGACCTATAAAGAAATTAGTAGAGATGGAGCGCCGTTTTTCACACTATTAAATAGAGAAAATTGCGCTCTATAATTGTTCGAAGTTTGATTTCTTCGGCTGTTCTTACCAAATTTTAACAAATTAAATCTGCCAAGAGCGTTAAAGAAAATGCCACGCAGAAACTAGAAGATAGAGGGCCGTCTTTTCGACTTTAAACAGAGAAAACACTCGTCTATGACTCATCAAAGTTTGGCTTCTTTGACAGTTTTGACAACATTTCGGAAAATGTTTAAAGCAGAATTTGTCAAGAGCGGTTTGAAGGCAAGATAATCTGCAAAGCTCATTTAAAAGTTGACTTATGAAGAAACTAGCAGCGTTAGTGCGCTGTTTTTCACACTTTTAGATAGAGGAAACTTTACTCTATAACTGCTCAAAGTTTTATTTTTTGGCGGTTTTCACCAAATTTTGAGAAATTTTCCAATTCGTACCCTGCCGGACCGGTTTCAAAGGAAGAAATTCTGCCAAGAGGGTTAAAAACATACCACAAAGGAACCAGAAAAGATAGAGCGCTGCCTTTTCAACCTTAATTAGAGAAAACTCTAGTCTATAACTCATCAAAGTTTGATTTCTTTGACAGGTTTGACGAAATTTTCAAATCAATATTTGTCAAGAGCTGTTTGAAGGCAAGAGAATCTGCAAAGCGTATTCAAAAATCGATATATAAAGAAACTAGTAGATATAGAGCGCTGTTTTTCACACTATTAAATAGAGAAAATTGAGCTCTATAATTGCTCAAAGTTTGATTTTTTCGGCGGTTTTTACCAAAATTCACCCGAAGATAGAGCGCCGTCTTTTCAACTTAAAACAGAGAAAACACTAGTCTATAACTCATCAAAGTTTCATTTCTTTGACAGTTTTGACAACATATTTAAAACAGTATATGTCAAGAGCGGTTTGAAGGCAAGAGAATCTGCATAGCGTATTAGAAAATCGACCTACAAAGAAACTAGTAGAGATAGGGCACCATTTTTTACATTGTTAAATAGAGAAAATTGCGTTCTATAATTGCTCAAAATTTGATTTCTTCAGCGGTTTTTACCAAATTTCAACAAATTAAATTTGCCAACAGCGTTTAAGAAAATGCCACGAAGAAACTAGAAGATAGAGCGTCGTCTTTTCAACCTTAAACAGAGAAAACACTAGTCTATAACTGATCAAAGTTTGACTTATTTGACAGTTTTGACAAAATTTTGAAAAATTTTCAAAGCAGCATTTGTCAAAAGCGGTTTGAAGGCGAGAGAATCTGCAAAGCGCATTTAATTGTTGACGTTTAATTGACTTATGAAGAAACTAGCAACGTTAGAGCGCTGTCTTTCACACCTTTAGATAGATAAAACTTTACTCTATGACTGCTCAAAGTTTTATTTTTTTGCGGGTTTTCACTAAGTTTTGACAAATATTCCAATTCGTACCCATCCGGAGCGGTTTTTAAACAAAAAATTCTGCCGAGAGCGTTAAAAACATTTCACGAAGGAACCAAAAAAAAAGAGCGCTGTCCTTTTAACCTTAAATAGAGAAAACTCTAGTCTATAATTCCTCAAAGTTTGGTTTCTTTGACAGCTTTCATCAAATTTTGACAAAATTTTCATAACAGGATTTGTTAAGACCGGTTTAATTGATTTCTGCTCTCACTTTCATTTAAGTGGTTTAAAAACAGTTTGCGAGTACACCACTGGATAGAGGGGGTTAATGCGCATTAAAACACCATTTTATTTATTTTTGCTAGACGGAACAATAAGCTACTGGTGATTGTTAATTTAGAGTCACGTCTGTTGTTACACTTAAAGTTGTTACTTCTATTCATTAAACACTGTTTAATTACGAAATTGTGCCGATCCAACAGACGTGACAACTGAAGGCTCGTTCAGACGGTGATATAGATGACGTAACATCTAACTCCGTGACACCATTCACGTGTTCAGGTGTTTACACTCACCAACACATTGTGTCGCGACAGACTATTTCCAAAATGGCGGATTTCTTGCATGCAGTAGCGGATGTGTTAGAAGAAATCATTATTTTGAAATTGAGGCGAAAATTCGAAAAACGAGAATGTATGAGACAGTGGATTATGCGTAGAAACAAACTAGGGGCATCAGAAACTACTAAACAAATTGCAATTAGAAGACCCAAAGTCTTTTTGCAATTTTCTGAACTCAGACTCGAATTTCTGGTTTCTCGAGGGTTTCGGGTTTTGATCTGCATATGCACGGCTGGGATTCGAACCGAGGTTGGCTGTCTAGCCTGAGTAACGTTTTACTACTATGTTCAAACGACTACAAAAAGTAATCTAGATTTTCCCAAGAACATAATGAGTTCAAAGAAAGTCGACGAGTTTTCTTGTAAAATCGATCTCTCAATTTTTTTGAATAAAAGATTCAGTTTGCCAGAATTTTACAGGAAAATGCTAGGAAAACCGCGGTTTTTCTGTTTGGAGACAGTGTTGCTTACAAATATTGCCCTTAAAGTGAAGAAACCTCAGTTTCCAAATAAATGATTATAAACTTTCGCTTTTTCAGTTCAGGGAAATATTTTTGGAAAAAACCCAGAATTAAGTATTATGGTTTTGTCCATAATTCGAAGCTGCAATAAGTTTTCCAAAAATTTTGCAAAGCGGTTAAGTGTGTTCCAATAAAATTTATTTTGTAATTTTTCACAGAAATTACCTGAAGATTGTCAGTATTTTAACTAAAAAATAATGCGATTTTTGCGTAGAAAAAAATGCTTAATAGAAACGTTGTTAAAACTAGGATGACCTGAAAATTTAAAGGAACTTTAAAGGAACATCAGAGCGATGTGGGCGGAGAATTCCAAATAATTTTTTGTAAACTTTTGCTCTCTGATCGTTTTTTCCAGATAATCTTAATTAGGTACTTTCAGAAAAAACTGAAAAAAATTATTTGGTATTTGTGCCAAATTAGAAGCTGAAAAGGGTTTTCCATTATTGTCAGCAACCCCATTATTGTAAGCAAAGAAGGAAATCCTCAGAAAATAATGGTTTTTCGCGTGTTAGATTAAAAACTTTTAGTTTTGTGATCGGTTTTGGAGAAATCCTTAATGATTTTCAGGGAAAAACGAGATGAATTTTTATTTTCGTTTTTGTCTCGATTTTGACGCTAAAAAAAGTTTTACAAAGCTATAAATTTAATTATAAGTAATTTTTAAACCGTAAAAGACCTCCAGATCGTCAGTATTTTTAAGTAAAACTGTACAAAATAGAGCGTTTTTAAGTAAAAAGTAAAACAAACAAAATTAGTCAAAACTAAAAAACCACTTTTTTAACAAACTCTACAGTCTTCAGAGACGTGACAAGATTTCCAAATAATCTGTAATAACTTTCGCTTCTGTTCGTTTTTTGATAGAAAATTATTTGATTTTTGTTCCAAATTCGACGCTGGAAAGGGATTATAAAACTTTTTACAAAGCGACCAATGATTCGAAATTTATTTCATAATTTTCAACAGAAAACACATTAAGTTTGTCAGCATTTTTAAGTGAAACTTTAGAAAATTGAGCATTTAGAAGAAAGAGTAACTTGGCTAAAATTGGAACATTCCGATTGAAGAAATTTTAGAAATATTGTTAATAAATGGCCCTTAAAATAAATCTAGAAGCAATTAAAAAAAATCATCAATATTTTCCCAACTACGGAACTCAGTTACTGCGCCGGTGCGTCGGGTTGGCGCACCAAGCCGTTTGCTTAGCACTGCGCCACTTTTTCAATTTACCGTGGGATTTGGCGCTGAATAATTACAATTTGAATTAAAAAAAATCTAAAATGTCGATTGAAAGGACTCAGGAGGTTAAAACACTACCTGAATCATACCCAAATCGTATTAGCCATTAGTTGTGCGAAGGACAGCAGGTGTCACGTTCGTTCAATACAATGATTCAGAGTCCATCAATTGGTAGGCATTTTAATCTAATTCGATTCAAATGCGATATAAATAAATAAATGAAATTTGATGACTGAATGAATGATTTTCCAACAAAATGTATTTGTTTAGTGCTGCCCAGATAGTGCAGGCCAGCATCTCCATTGCCGTTTTTTTCACGTTTATGCTGCAGTTCTACGTGCCGCTTGACATCACATGGAACCGAATCAAGCACAGAATTCCCGAAAATCGGCACAACATTTCCCAGATTTTGCTGAGAACTGGCCTGGTCATTTTCGTCACTGGTAAGAGCCAGTTTTTTCCATTTTTTTTACACATGGGCTAATCCGGCTCTATAATAATTCAGGGCGGTATTTAGGAAAATTAGCACATATATATGAATTTTTGCAGGTATCGCTGCAGCGGGCGGGGAACATTTGGGTGTCTTGATCGATCTGGTGGGGGCGATTTTCTTCTCCACATTGGGGCTGTTTGTGCCGGCACTGATCGAGATCATTGTCGACTGGGATGAGGGATGGGGCCGGTTCCAGTGGCGGCTGATTAAGGACGTTTTAATCATGACTCTGGCCGTGTTCGGGCTGGTGTCCGGCAGCTACTATGCTGCCTTGGAAATGAAGTGAGTGGACCCAGCAGTCCCTTTGAGTAAAAGCGCTGTGATATTTTGTCAAGTAGTCATAAGTTCAACTGCCCGATTGTTTTTGCAATTAGTACGGGACAAGCTGGTTACATTTATGGTTGTTTCGCGATATTTTAACCCAAAAGTGCAAATTTTTATAAACGAAAATGAATATAAGGAAGTTTGTATATGTTGTTTTGTATAGTAGTTTTAAACAGTTCACCTTAACAATAAATTATGAAGTAGATGAGTGCATTTCAGTTTGAACTATCACCTTGTCCTCTAATTGTAATTGAGACTTGAGAGATTGATTTTATCGACAGTTTACCGGAGCGAGTGTTGGTCGAACATACAGGGTAATTCAAAATTGGCGTCATTCCTCTGGAGGTGTTGTCTGGCGCTGATATAGGAGTACAGAAAAAATAGTAAAATAAATTAATTGTTATTAAAAACTGAGAAATTTGCAAAAAACTATTTCAGAAATACGGCAGCAATGTTTTCAATGTAATCTGTCTAATTAACATTGCGAAAATACCTGTGGCTTCGTAATTATTTAAAACTCCGGTAACCATAGAATTATACAGACTGACAATAAGATAGACAAGGATAAACGGCAAATTCAACAAGATTTGTTGACGAAATGTCAACCTGTTCTCATAACCTCGAATAT